GCCGTAAGTGCAGAAGCGGAAGGAGGTGGCCATTGGCCGTACCAAGTGAGGGGTGCCCCAGGATCCTTTCTAGGACTTGAGGGGCATGACGTTCCTGGCCTTCAACGCTTGGTCAGCCATGTGGAGGCTCTCTGGGTGAGTCATAGGGGGATCCTCTAAACATGATACCTAATTGTAACCACATGAACCAGGACTCATTAACAACAACCTTATTTAAGAAACTTACCTTACCAGTATTTAGTTCATCGTAGGGGTCTGGGAACCCCGTGTACTCTCTGGGACTTCCATACAGGTTCAGATAACAAGGTCCAAATGTTGGAACGAAGCCCACCTCTGTTTCTCCCGTATTTGCTGAGAGATAAACATCCTCATTAGATTTTCAAACTTTCACATTCAATTGATTGAAATAAATATTAGTTATTAGTTAGCCAGGGGAGACTACGGCCTTCCATGTTGCGCATTAGTTGTATTAGGGCAAATTATAAGCACTGAGACTTGTCATACTTTCTTCTTATTATTGCTATAAAATATTAAATATAAAACATTGGAGGGATAGTTCAGGTAAACGTATGCTTACAGAAAGACAACACTATTCAAATGAAAGAATAATAAGACTTTCAAGACGATCCTCACATTTTTTGCAAGTTTATAGTTGGCATTGTATTAAACATGTCCTTGACAACTGGGGTAAAAGATCATACTGTTTTGAGAAGCCATGTAAGTGATGTATCAGATTAACTTAATTTGTTTTCTCCCAAAATGTCACTTACTCTCAAGCAGTTAGTATAAATCTGACAGATGCTTTTCAAAATACAAGACATTTAAAATTTTTATATGTGACAGTGAACAGCCTGCCTGTGGTTCTAAGACCATATGATACGCCTAAGTGATATGAAAATCCCCATTCATTATGTTCTATCTCTAACGATCATCAGATAAATTCTGTTCTTGCTACTCCGTCTTAGTAAGAGTGTTCCTCAATATAGGACACGAAGGACGGTATAAGAAAATAGTAAAACCAGGGGCCAGCAGGTAGTGTAGTGGTTAAGGCTCTGGACTCCCATGTGGCCAACCATAGTTCGAGTCCCAGACCTAGCAGCTTACTTTCTCACTTTCTCTCCCTCTGTGTGTCTCACGCTGGTCAAGATTAAAAAATAATAATAAATTAAGTAATTTTTTTTTTAAAAAATAGCCAAATCAAGGAGAAACTGTGGGTAGGGATAAGAAAAGATGAGAGCTGCCTTCACCAGTCTGAATGACCCCCAGGGGGAAGAGAGATGAACTCATCTCCAAGATCAGAGTGCTCCGAAAACACTCTGAGAGCACTGCTCTGTGTCACCCAGAGCCGAATTTAGTGCTCCCAATGCAAAGAAGAACTTCCTATAAGTTAGGGATGTCCAACCATGAGGCAGATTGCTTTAGAGCCAATCAAAAGAAATGCTGAGACCATCAGCCTGTCTCTCAGGATGTACCAGGCTAATTCCCACTATGGATATGAGGGTGACAATTCCTTCTATGGATGGCCTTTTGCAACTCTAAGCCAGAAACTATGGATAAAAGATAAATGTGGACTAGCAGGTGAGCAGCATGCCCGTTAATGAATAACTGACCTAATTATAGAGACGTGCACAGCCCAATCATTTTCATTACGTGAGGCTCGCCAGAAACTTAGACATGTGTGCACACTTTCGGGGAGAAGGAAGGTAGAAACCACACACATGGGCATAAATGAGCTGACCAGTAATCTCAGTGAAGAGATGGGGGAAATAATTTAAATTAAGATAGAAAATAGGATGTATGGGCCAGCTAATGGCCTGGTGATTAAGGTGGCTGGATCTCACATCGCTGATTATGTGGTTCACGTCCTGGACCCAGCGGCTTGCAAAACACGCTGGGCATGTGTGCATGTGTGCTCAAAATCCTGAAGAGAAAAATGGAGAGAAAAATGGAGGGGAAGGGATTGAGGCATGGTCATTCCCCATCAGGGATGTGTTCTCACTTTTCCTCTCCCTCTCTCTGTGCGTCTCTGGTGAGCACATGCACCCGCTGGCAAATTAAAACAAGTGACACTAGTAGGTGACAGGGTGAGACTTGGTAATATCCTGGAGTGCCACATATCACACGCTTTTGGAAATCTCTCATGAAACCCAATAAAGGCCAACAGTTTTTCCAACTGATATTTCTCTGAAGCTTGTTTTTATCTTCAAGAGCAGGCTGAAATGAATGACTATTGTATGTGAACACATAAATGACTTTGGTTTTATCCACTCGACTATATGTAACATTACAAAGTTGACTAACGGAGATTTAATAAGCAGGGCTTAAACTTCTTTCCTTGTGGTCAGATATTTCGGTATGGGGGAAGGATGTTGCATGAGAACAGAGGGTTAAAGAGAGATTTATAGAAAGGGAAGGAAGTAATTTCTAGCAGTTGAATCACAGAATGTTCAAGTAAACACAGACGTTGCACCCCAGTCATGCCACATTAAGAAAGGGCACACTGGAGCCCACAGAGATGCTGTGGCTTGTCCAAGCGCCCACAAGTTGGCAGATGTAGGCCCAGCACTTGATTGCAAAGTCCACAGATGGGCACCCTCCACTCCGCTGTTCATGTTTTTAGTCTAAACCTGGTCCCGTTGGTGACTGTGCTGTATGTCATGAATATTTTGCTTTCATTCAGGCTCTTCAGGGACAGGGACACACATGATCGACAGTGATCCACTGCATGTCACCCCGATAACAAAAGCTTCACGCCTTTCATCCAGTCAAAACTCTCTTTCAGGATGTTGAGCCCTTGCACTTGTCTGGTTATGCATTAATATGAAGAACTTTCCTCAACAGGTCTCCTGGGAAACCCATCCCCTCACAAGCTAAGTCTCTTCCTGCCTTCAAACTTGCCCAACACACATTTACGCAAAGTCGTTCATCCAGCTTCCCAGAGTCCTTTCTGAAGGGCCTATGCAAAATAAAAATAAAGTCTTTCGCCTGACCCCGCTACAACCCGCTTCCCAAATAATATTTTCCATTCCTCCTTCACCTCTTTGAAGCCCCATTGCATTTTCAACATCTATAAGTTATTTAGCTCTTAGAACCTTAAACAGGTGCCTATTCTGTGACTGGAGTATAAATTCCTTTTGGGGGAGGTGGTGGTGGTGGCAGGATGTAAGTATGTTTGTTTTGATCCCCTAAACTTCTGGTACTGGTTCTATCATTGAGTATTACCAAGTAAGTATTGGCCAATTATCTGAACAAGTGAATGAAGGAATGAGGTGTTTCCATATCTGCTGAGTTTGCTGCAAACCTGAGGACTACTTAACATTCACATGGTCTAATTATGCGATAATGATTTTTTAAAATGCAGAATTGGCATTGTGTCCATTACATAAAGGCAGATGATAGCACCTTAGATTTACCCAGAGCTTTCGAGTTTGCAAAGGTTTCCCATATGCAGTATCTCTCTCCCTCTCTCCACTACTCTGGGTAATTAGTGTGGCAAAGATGACCGTGATTATTGGATGGATCATGACCCTCTCCCAACACCAAAGTCCGACTCTATTAGGGGAACAGTAACATCTGCCTTCGAGATGGCCAGGTATGGAGACCAATGAACAAACTTGCAGAAAATGGTGAGTGCTATGTGAACCAAGGGACTCCTAACGATCCATCCTTTATATTTGGAAGGTGAAGACCTTTGTTTGGTATCTTCTAACCGAGAGATCCATGACAAAAGTGGAGGAAAGTTACTTCAGGTTATTTCAGAGCAATTGGCTTAGTGCCCCCTATTTTTACCTACTGAGTGTAAACAACATAACAAGAGCTGTTACATCTCACAATTATTTGCAACAAAGACAGAATGGTATGCCTCTTGGAGAAGTTATGAGCTACAGCAAAGCCTGGTTAGCTTGTTAGCTCTAAGTTTAGCCATGCAGGACAACCACACAACTATACAACATTTAAACAAAAATGACAATGCTAGCAAAACTATTTCTAAGATGCAAAATGTCAGAAAAAAAAAAAGGAAAAATGAAAAGGAAAAGATTCTGAAGGGTATCAATTAATATATTCTGGGATAATAGCAGATAGAAAGAGCTAATAGGCATCAAAATTACAAAGCATAAACCTGTATATGACGCAGCCCCAGTTCCCGAAGATGAGAAATCTATATAGTAAAAACATGATTGGTTAAACAACACAAGAAACACGGGCATTGTAAAACAGACATTGTAAAACAGACAATGGTCATCAAATCCAGTGCTAGGTCAGTGGTTTAGCAATACCAGAAAAATCCCAAATTCAGAGCCGCATCACAAGACCTCTTTGTTATTTATACCCCTTTGTTATTTATCTTACCAGTTAGATACAAAATGGCTCAAAACTTTGTGACAACTGACAGAACAGCCACTTGTGGATAACGCAAACTCGCCAGTCCCAAGGCAGCCAGGCATGAGAAAACCAAGCTTCCCAAGGTCAAAGAAGGCCTGGGGAAGTTACTGATTCATGTTTTTTAATAAAACAATTACTTGTCTTATGACTTAGTTAGGACCTCGGCCAGAGAATCCAAGTTAATTTAGTCTGAGACTGTATAAGCAAAGGACTGTAGTTTATGGGACATTCTTTGATTCAAAGCATGCATGGTTTGTTTTTTTCTTGGGGAGGATGACAGCTCTTGTTACTTGGAGACACCAGAACAGACAGTGTGCAGGGCCTGCAATGAGTGAAGGTCTCAGAGTCTGGTGCCCAAATTACTTGTCACAAGTTCTGATTTTAGTTTTTCTGGATGTTTCTATCATACCGGTAAGAAAATGCTTATAGTCTTGAATAATTATCCTTAGAAATTGTTTAATTATTTCTTACTATAAAAAATGGATTTCCCACCCTTAGCCCCAAATATTTATAGCATGGTTTTTCAGTTCCTCTGTGAGTTACTTTTAGGATTTAATCTGCAGTCACACTGTCTGGATTCCCCACTTGATAAAATGTAGCTGCTAGCACTCCTACCCTTCACCTCCACTCCTCTTCCTCCTTCCACTTGTAACCTCCACCTTCTACAGTTTTAATTTGCTATAGGTGATGGCATTTACATTCTGTTCACAGCTTTGACTATAGGTTTAATAAAAAATCAAAACAATAGAAGTGCTCACATTATAAAAATATAAATAAATATTGTTCTCTGCAGAGGAAAGGAATGGACTGTGAATATAATTCCTCTGTGGGTGCTCCAGTAACGTGATCCCCAGGCCAATCAGCAGAAAAAAATATTCACATGGAATCTCTTTCGTACTTTCTACCAATTAACCACTCAAAAGAACGCCACACACAATTTTATAATCCCTCTGTAATCTCGTCTTTGTTCACTTCCTTGTTTTTCTTGGAATTTCTAATTGCCTTTCTTTTCTTGTTTCTTGAGAGAGGCAGTCTACTTTTTTGCCATCCCTCTCCAGATCTTTATTCATGTTCTTACTTGGATTAATAATAATAATAATAATAATAAACTCATAAAGCCTTCTTTCAAACAAGATGAAGATGAGAAGAGATTTTGGACAGGGGCAAGAAGGCCAAAACCATCAATAGTAGTTGCCTTGATTATTACTTATTTTGTTACCCATGACCGAAACATCACAGTAAAGATTCGTTAGTCTCATCAAATGAGTTTTTAAGAAGCCAAGCCTTTGCCAAGTGGATGCCCCAATTCATTCTTTCTACAGAAGTTCCATATTCCGTCTTGTTCTACACTTGTTGACCGACTTACCTTCTACTTCCCCACCAGAAGCAGCAATTTTAGAAAGGTATAGATATGTTGTTCCTACCACATCATTTTTGGTAAGACGGTCCCTGTGAGGGGAAAAAAACAGGTTAAGACCTCCCCCTTTCAACATATGTCTTCATTTTAATAACAAAAGAAGATAGAGCTGAGAACCCAAGATCTCAGAAACTCAGGAATCATCCTGCCCAGTAAGCCTCAAGCTTTGCTATACTTAAGAATCATCTGGAAACTCTCTACCTCATCCCCTGCCCAATGCAGTAAGCCTGGAGTGGGGACCAAGAGCCTGTATTTATACCAAGTATATTCTAATTGACTCTGATGCAGATGGTCCTCCAACCACCCCTTAGAAACACTGATCTTGTTGGACAATTCACTCTGCAATTATGAAATAGAGATTTTACAGAACGGTCAAAGAATTTGTGTATGGCCACCCTCAATGCCATTGTCATGAAATGAATGATCAATTACAGGCACATTATGTGACAGATATAATGTAATCACATTTTATAAAATAGGTGTATGCATCTTCTTTGTTCATGCTCATACTAATTATTATGATGGCCTAACAATTACAGTGGGATATACGTATAGAAGGGCCCATCATAGAGAGAAAAATCCCCCTCTAGTCCAAATATTTATTGAGCACATGCTATGTGATAGGTGTTGATTTTCTGAGTACAGTTGCTTGCCTAGAACGTAAATCTCACCTGTTTTGGGGACAAATTTTTCAGGCCCACTATGGGTATATACGACTTTATTTTCCTTCTGAGGGTATCTTAGAGAACCTGTGACCCTAACCCATTGTCGAGATTTGGTTGATAATTTGTCTCCCAAGGTTTGGGTTTTAGAATTTGCTTAGTGGACAGTAATTGGATGTCCTCAACTCATACATTGGGTGACCAGCAGATGGCATCATGGTTACATCGCTGGACTCCCACATGGCGGACCATGATTTGAGTACTGGACCCAGAGGCTTGAAACTCACACCGGGCACTTATGTGTGCATGCCCAAAATCCCAAGAGGAGAATGGAGAAGAAGGGACTGAGGCGTGACCATCCCCCCGGGGGTGATTTCTCATTTTCTGTCTCTCTATCTGGCTAGTGCACACGACCTATAGCAAAAATCACTCTTCAAAAAATAGAATAATGTTATACAATATCCACATGCTTCGTTCTTCAATGGTAAGTAAGACATGTCTACTTTCAACTTACCAGTCATATACTGTTAATTTTATTTTTTCACACATTGAAGGAAACTGTTAGAATGAAACAGAATAAAAGGTAGTTATTTCTCAGTTTACTCCGTACCTATTGAAATAAGTATTCTTACGTTTTCTTAGAGAAAAGAAAATCAAACCTTGATCTGAAGGTTGACGACTTGATTCCACTCAGGATTAGCATTTTTTTCAATTATATTTGTGCAAACCTGCAAAATCACCAAAGCAAAACTGTAGATATTTGCTAAAATATAACATGGGCTCAATACTGATCTGCTTCTTCTGTGCACTAAAAGCTCATTTTTATCTATTTTTTAAATGTTCAATTGCCAGATTTCTAACATTAAGTTAATGTAACAAAGCACAAGTTAAAGTTTACTGGGCATTTTTTATATGCTGTTTAATAGCAATGAGATCATTAACACATCTAAACAGACCTTTGGTCCTGGCCACCGGCCTTCCAGTCCCCTACTCCACACAAGCTCCCGGTCCAGTCTTTCCACCATGGCCTACCCAATTGCTCAGGCTTACAACCAGCCTCAGCCACAATGTCTTCCTCAGCACACACTTCATCTAGTCCATCAGTAAATCCTGACACTTCTGTGGCAGGTCCTGAAATACTTCTCTCTGCAGTCGGTTTCTGTCTGGGTCCCTACTTCCTACCTTGCATGTCACTGCTGAGTAACAACTTCAGTGATCCCCAAGATACACTCAGAATAAAGTCTGGGGACCAGCAGTTGGTGTAATGGCTATGTCACTGGACTCCCATGTAGTTGACCATGGTTCGAGTCCCAGATCCGGTGGCTTAAACTCACGCTGGGAGCATGTGCATGCGTGCCCAAGATCCCGAAAGGAGGATGGAGAAGGGATTGCTGCATGGCCATCCCCCTGGGGGGTGATTTCTCGCTTTCTATTTCTGTCTCTCTTTGTCTTTCTGGTGAGCACACACACCCTATAGCAAAAACCTCTAAAAAAACCCTTAAAAAACATTATCTCTCTCTCTCTCTTTTTTTTCTCTCTCTCTCTGTTCCTCTCTGGTCAAATTTTTAAAAAATAAATAAATAAAGATTTTTTTAAAAAAAGGATAAAATCTGGATTTCTGTTCAGGCTCGTAAAGTCCCACCTGCCCTAAGCCTGCACGTCTCTGACCTCATCCCTTAGTTCTCTCCCTTGCTTCCTCTACTCCAGCCACATGGGCATTCATTCATTCGCTGCAGACATGTTTTCTCCTAGGGGCCTTTCTGTTCTTGTCTCTGCCCAGAAGCCCCTGCTCCCAGATCTCTGCACCTCCGGGCCTCTGCTCAATCAGCACTCCCTCCAAAGTGTCCTACCTGAGAATCTCACATAAACACCCCTCTCTGTACCAACCACTTCTGGGCCCTGCTTTATTTTCCACTCATACTTAGCACCACCTGGAAGTGTATGTTTACTTGTTCACTCATTCATTGTCTGTCTCCTCTCTGCCATAGGAAGCCCCAGAGAGCCATGGCTGTCCCATCTGTTCATTTCTATGTCCCCAGCACATGGGCCTGTCTCTGGGACTTAGCAGGCTCACAATAATTACTTCTCACATTAACTCACTTTCTCAGCAACGCTGTGAGTCTATGATTACCCCCATTTACAGTTCAGGAAGTCAAAACTTAGAGGGTAAGGCATTTGACTGCCTATGGCGTGGAGTGAAGTCTGAATTTAAATCCCATCTCATCTCTCCCAAGAGCTGAGTGCTTTTCCACCGCACCCTGTCTGACCCTTCTGGGAAGTAATAGTCCACCTTTTGTGTGATGGTTTGGCAGATCTTGCTCTCATGAGTAAATGGCTCAAACACATAGAAGATGCTAGTTCTTCATGAAAACTGTGGCGTTTGTTACTCTACGGAATCTCCTCACCAATCTTTGACCATCTCTGTAGGTCAAAATGGTGGTCACAAGTGTCCTTCTACAAAGAGTCTCTCAATCTTTTCTGGAGGACTTTTCCATCTGACCTTCCAGTTTTAGCAGCTCACAGGGACACTGAAGGGAATCCAGACAGGAGGGCACAGCTGAGTGTTGGGGGACTATATGATACATTATCACAGATACTTGGGATTGATGAGCGAGCTGGCCTAAGAGTAACATAACGCTTGGTCTTGGACATATAACACAATTCAGTGGTAGCCTTCAGTATTAGAATCATGCACGAGATGAATTTTCTAATTTGAGCCCTGCATAATTTCTACTCCAAAATAAGCCTGTCTGGCAAGGTCAGCCTCAGATAATCTGAGTCCCCAAGGTGTGCCCAGCTCATCAGGGGGCTATTTTAACAAAGAATAAGCAGAAATGCACTCCAAGGAGAGCATAGTGTTTCACATATTTGTTCCTATAGGCACCTGCATTTAGATCATATACAAACCTTCTTTCCAGCAAAGGAAACTTCTACAAAAGGATCCACGAGGTTTTTCTTGTCTGCGTTGCCACCAAATATTTCCTTTACTGTCTGTGAGAAGGCATCATCCACTGGAAAGTAACATGTCACACAGCATAAATTAAATTTGACCCTCTTAAAAGATCAGAAATTATTCAGTAACATTAGAAAATTTCTCCCAGGGCAGGCCAGTCGGTGATGTGGTAGTTAACTGGACCCCATATGGCCAACGGTGGGATTCAAGCCCCAGACGCAGTGGCTTCAGGAACACACCAGGCACATGTGTGTGCGTGTGCCCAGAATTCTGAGAGGAGGAAGAAACAGAGAAGAGACTGCAGTGTGACCATTCCCCATGGGGGCTGCTTTCTTATTTTCCTTCTCTCTCTGTCTCTGTACATTGGGCACATGTGCTCTCTGGGAAAAAATATCCCAGGCCAGTTGGTGGCGTGATGGTTGGGACACCCCCATGGGGGCTGCTTTCTTATTTTCCTTCTCTCTCTGTCTCTGTACATTGGGCACATGTGCTCTCTGGGAAAAAAATATCCCAGGCTAGTTGGTGGCGTGGCGTTTGGGACACTGGGCTCCCACAAGGTCTACTGTGGTCTGGGTCCTGGACCTGGTGGCTAGGGGATCACACCAAGCACATGTGCGTGCAAGCCCAAAATCCTGGTAAGAGGGTGGAGGAGAGGGGAATGCAGTGTTGCAATGTGGCTGTCCTCCCTGGGGTGTAGCTTCTTGCTTTCCCTCTCTGTGTCTCTCTCCCTTGAGTGCATGTGCCCTATAGGAAAACCCTAAAAAAAAAAAAAAAGAAAAAGAAAAAAAAGGAAAGAAAATAAAAAAGTCTCCTAGGGCTGGCCCCAGACCATAGTGGTTAAGGGAGAAGGATTTCACTTGACTAATTGTGGTTTGAATCCCAGTGCCAGCAGTTTGAAAAGCATGTGGGGTATGCGTGCGTGCCCCAAATTCCAACAGTATGGAGAAAGAGAGATTGTAGAATGACCACACCCCACTGGAGTGCTTCTCTCTTTCTTCTCTCTGTCTCTCTCTCTGGTGAGTGCACATTCCCTCTGGCAACTGACAAAAGGAAAGCTCTCCTCTGCATGACCACGGTTTCAACAAGGGTCATTCTCAGGACCGGCCAGCAATAGCAGCTGGGATCCTTTCTGTTTTAGTTGAGAGAGAAAGAAATGTTTTCTCCTCACCAAGGTTCAAAATGAACAGAATGTCTTAAAAAATAAGTTGAAAAGCCATTTTGATTACGTCTGATTATTTATGGAGGAAGGAAGTAGAATAATGAAAGTCTGCTCAGTCGGGGTAGGTGGAAATTCTCTAACTCGGGCCTGGCTTCAATTTGGAAAAGGTGATTTAGGTTAAAATGACATAGGCTCAGGCTCAGTCTGGCTTTTTCAGAGAAATTTGAGAAAAACTGGCATAATCATCAATTCATAAACACTACATTTAGTCAACTATGATCTGTTTTAACAAACTCACAAGTAAGAAGAGATCGACTAACTAGGTCAGTATAGGAAGTGTAATGTGAAGTGTGATTTATTTACTTCTTTTAAGATATTGTCTGAGGGAAGGATGGTAGAAGGAGGTGTCACTGGGTCTTTAAAAAGCGAGAAGGGTTTCCAGGAAAAGCAGCAAATCCTGAAGAGATCCCAGGTCTGTACAGGGGGTGCTGCCTCCTAGGGACTTGGAGAAGGGTCCTCCGTCCCAGAGCCCAGCAGGAAGCAGGCAGGCCCAGCATGCCAGATAGGCCACTGGTGAGCAATGGCAGACGATCAGCTGCCCTAGGGCCTACCCATGGAATCTTTGGCTAAACACATCTTATAATGTGACAGGGACAGACTTCTAGATATTGAGCTTTACCATCCTTTGCTCAGCTCTTTTTTAAAAATTGTCAGAGGGGGAACCAGCAGTTAGCGTAATGGCTATGTCGCTGGATTCCCACGTAGTTGACCGCGGTTCGTGTCCCGGACCCGGTGGCTTAAAACTCACGCCGGGCGCGTGTGCGTGCGTGCCCAAGATCCCGAGAGGAGAATGGAGGAGAAGGGATTGCGGTGTGACCATCCCCCCTGGGGGGGTGATTTCTCGCTTTCTGTCTCTATGTCTCTCTCTGTCTGTCTGGCGAGCGCACGCGCCCTACAGTGAAAATCTCTCCAAAAAAAAAAAAATTGTCAGAGGTTGCATGTGCTCTCCAGAGAGAGACAGAGAAACAAAGAAAGATACATAGAGAAAGCACCTTCAGTGGTGTGCAGTTAACCTGTGACCCCCTTCTCCTCCATGTCTCCGTCCTATCAGGATTGGGGTATGCATGCATAAGCACCCAGTGTGTTTTTGAAATCACTGGGGCAGGGACTCACACTGTGGTTGGCCATCTGGGCTCCAGCTCCCTTAATCACCAAGCCACTGAGCCAGTCCTGCTCAACTATTTTTAATAGTCCAATAGCAGACTCAATACTTGGTTATAAAATTTCACATTTTCATTTGGGACCTAAGGGATTGGAAGCACTGACTGCTTGCCTCTCCTTGACATTCACTACAAGAAGAAGAAAAAGAAATTAGGTGCAGCAGGTGGCGTGGTAGTTAAGGCGCTGGACACTCCCATATGGTAAACCAAGGTTTGAGACCCAGACCTGGTGGCTTGCTTTCTCGCTTTCTCTCTCTCTCTCTCTCTGGTCAAATTAAAATAAATAAATGAATAAACAAAATTAATTCTTTAAGAAAAAGAAATTAAAGGATGAAAGGATAGAATAGAATAGACCAATGGCAGGTGCTCAACAGGGAGCAGGGATGGCCAACCAACTGACTGGCTGCCCTATGAACTGCAGCAAGCTTTCAAGGGGCCTGAATGAATGAAGGTAAATCCATGGAGGCCTTTCAGAAGAGAAGCTAAGGCGGGGACTGGAGGAGTCCGACCCGGTGGGGCTGGTCCCCGGCAGGGGACATTGATCAGGAGACGAACTCATGCAGAGAACTGATAATCCCGGGGCATGAGTCAGGTCAGGTCAGTACGTACTCTGGGGGATATCCTCAGCTCGGTAGATTTTCAGCAAGAAGGTGACCCACCGGAGGGCAATGCCAGCGGGCAGTAACAAGTTGCTCTCCACGTCATCGCTGTCGACGTCGCGATCTTGTCTCTCAGGCTGGTGGGGATGCATGATTGAAATTACACACACAGAAGAGGAGCACTCATAAAAGCCAAATCAATGCTCACACGATGAAGCCAACCAGTACTGTTCCCATCAGGATGTCCTGTGTTTTAGGCTTATAAATTCAGTTGCCAGTTTTCTTTCATTTTTGAGAATGTTCTATAAAATCAATGCTTGTGTGTTTCTGTGTCCTGTAATTCTATGAGCACCAAATAGTAAAATGTGTATATTCCTGGTGTTCTCCCACGTTCTCTCTGGTCACTTAGCATTCCCTAGTTTACTCCAGTCTTCCAGAACAATCACCCTTGAAAGCAGCCATGCCTGGTTTAACAAGTAAGCTGTTCTTTCTAAGTAAAATCAGTATTTCTAATGATGCAAGCAAATCATTAATACACGCATATTGCATATCGGGGCCAGTAGGTTGCAGGGTGGTTAAGGTGCTAGACTCCCACATGGTCAATTGCAGTTTGAATGCCAGATCTTGTGGCTTGAAAATTGTGCCAGGCACATATATGTGCATGCCGAAAATCCCAGAAGGAGAATGGAGGAGGAGATGGTCATCCCCCCTGGGGAGTGATTTCTCACTTTCCTCTCTCTCTGTCCAATGAGCACACATACCCTATGAAAAAAAAAAAAAAGAAAAAAAAGAAACACCTTTCAAAACAAATAAGCAGGAACTAGCATTTGGCATAATGGCTATGTTGCTGGACTCCCATATAGTCAACCATGGTTTGTGTCCCGGACCCAGTGGCTTAAACTCACACTGGGCACATATGTGTGCATGCACAAGACCGTAAGAGGAGAATAGAGGAGAAGGGACTGTGGCGTGGCCATCCCCCCTGGGGGGTGATTTCTCACTTTCTGTCTCTGACCCTGTCTTTCTGGTGAGCGCATGCGCCCCATAGCAAAAACCTCTCCAAAAAAAAACCCAACCAACCAACCAAACAAACAAACCACTACATATCTTTTCTGAACTGAATCCTTGCTGGAAGGGACTGTGAAGGAAAACATTTGTGAAGAATCAGAAGGATCACAGAGGGTCAGGGCTCACTGATTAGAAGGTGTGCTCCATTTCACAACTATGGGTGCCCATGCGCTTAATTCTTGATCCTCTTTTTTAGAGCAGAGTATAAAAGGCAGAGGATTTACAGACTCACAGGAGGCTCATCTCCAGTTCCCAAGACAAACATGCTGACTTTCATGTAACCTTTAGCACCAGAGCTGGCATCCTCAGGGTCATTGAGAAGAAGCCATTTTCTCATGACAGCATGACCTAACAGAAGGAAGTAGAAGAACAGGGACACACTGCAGAGGAGCTGAAAGGCCCAATTTCATTCGCTGTAGGGTGAACAAGCATTTCCCTGGAAGCTTTACGGTGACATACTTATCTCCCCAGGTGAGTCGCTTCTCAACATCCTCTGCTCCTCACCTTCCCGACCTTGCCCACTATCATGTCCTGGTGCATTCCGACAAGACTCTAAGCTCTACGGGATCCAGCAGTTAGCGTAATGGCTATGTCGCTGGATTCCCACGTAGTCGACCATGGTTCGCATCCCGGACCTGGTGGCTTAAAACTCATGCTGGGCACGTGCGCATGTGTGCCCAAGATCCCAAGAGGAGAATGGAGGAGAAGGGATTGCGGCGTGGCCATCCCCTCTGGGGGGTGATTTCTCGCTTTCTGTCTCTATGTCTCTGTCTGTCTGGCGAGCGCACATGCCTGTAGCGAAAACCTCTCCAAAAAAAAAAAAAAAAGACTCTAAGCTCTACGAGTCGGACAATTTGATCTTGATAAGATTAAAATATAGAAATTACCTATTTGCAAACATCAAATACTAATTAGATATCCAAGCTAAGCTACTGTCACTCATTCCCACTCAGCATCCTCTCCTCCCCCTCATCAAGAAAACAATTATTTTATTCTTTTGACTTTAATTCCTTGATCTCCAAAAGATTTTTTTTGGATGCCTAGAATCTTCTTCAGAACTACAAGGAATGAACTTGAGACTCCAGATTGATGGGAAGCACGTTACATACCAGGTTCATCATAAATGAATCCAACGTCGATCTGGGGAAAGAACAATTTAAAGTAGTTTCAGTACATTTCAACACCAGTCCGGTCACTTTCATTACTATATTCTACTAAGTCTAGACGCCATCATTACTGTATTCAGTTCGAATGTAATGCTCTCGAGGAGACGTACATTGTCTCAAGACCCAACGTCCCAATTACGCTCTCCCTCACCTCGAAGCCTTGCCCGATGTGAGTGGCACATCGCAGACTCTCAGTCCATCACTGCTGAACGATCAGGGTCATCTCAGAGCAGAAAGGGCTCAAGGAAATGGCGCAGCCAACACATTCTGTTTTCCCTTGACCTTCTCAGTTTTAGCACCAAAAAGGGCAGCAAACTGGGACCATCGGTCACCCTACAGAAATCCCACTATCATGTCCTGGTGCATTCCGACAAGACTCTAAGCTCTACGGGATCCAGCAGTTAGCGTAATGGCTATGTCGCTGGATTCCCACGTAGTCGACCATGGTTCGCATCCCGGACCTGGTGGCTTAAAACTCATGCTGGGCACGTGCGCATGTGTGCCCAAGATCCCAAGAGGAGAATGGAGGAGAAGGGATTGCGGCGTGGCCATCCCCTCTGGGGGGTGATTTCTCGCTTTCTGTCTCTATGTCTCTGGTCTCTGTCTGTCTGGCGAGCGCACATGCCTGTAGCGAAAACCTCTCCAAAAAAAAAAAAAAAAGACTCTAAGCTCTACGAGTCGGACAATTTGATCTTGATAAGATTAAAATATAGAAATTACCTATTTGCAAACATCAAATACTAATTAGATATCCAAGCTAAGCTACTGTCACTCATTCCCACTCAGCATCCTCTCCTCCCCCTCATCAAGAAAACAATTATTTTATTCTTTTGACTTTAATTCCTTGATCTCCAAAAGATTTTTTTTGGATGCCTAGAATCTTCTTCAGAGCTACAAGGAATGAACTTGAGACTCCAGATTGATGGGAAGCACGTTACATACCAGGTTCATCATAAATGAATCCAACGTCGATCTGGGGAAAGAACAATTTAAAGTAGTTTCAGTACATTTCAACACCAGTCCGGTCACTTTCATTACTATATTCTACTAAGTCTAGACGCCATCATTACTGTATTCAGTTCGAATGTAATGCTCTCGAGGAGACGTACATTGTCTCAAGACCCAACGTCCCAATTACGCTCTCCCTCACCTCGAAGCCTTGCCCGATGTGAGTGGCACATCGCAGACTCTCAGTCCATCACTGCTGAACGATCAGGGTCATCTCAGAGCAGAAAGGGCTCAAGGAAATGGCGCAGCCAACACATTCTGTTTTCCCTTGACCTTCTCAGTTTTAGCACCAAAAAGGGCAGCAAACTGGGACCATCGGTCACCCTACAGAAATTTCCCTGGCCCAACTTCCTATCCAGTCCTCCACCTCCTTCAACGAATGTTAATATTAATATTAACGTCAGTATCGTCATTGATTGGGTACTTCCATGTGCCAGGTGCTGTGCTGGAAGCTTTGTCACATAGCATCTCATTGAACCTCACAATGACCCCATTTTAGAATGGAAGATACCAGGATCAGACAGGCGAAGTGAGTTCCCCTGACCCGTGGTAGTCAGCGGCAGACAGTGTGAACACAGGTCTGACCCAGATTGGCCTCTAGAACTTCTGGTGCCTGGAGCTCCTTCCTCGGAGAGGCAGCCCAGGCCTGGAGAGTTGCTCAGAAGGAGACAGGCAAGTATTTGTCTACTTAAACTCCAGTGAGAGTTGCTCAAAAAAGCACCCAGTTCTCTCGCCTGGCTTGGTTTCCCTTTCACACTCCAGATTCATAATGACTGGCCTTGCAGGTGGAGCCCCAGTGTCACTTTAGGTGGGACTGGAGGGCGAGCTTCTCACTGTGGTAGAGCACCCCTTCCCTGTGAGGCAGTGGACCTGCCCCCATCACAGGAGTGCCAGCCACAGCCCAGGTGGCAGCTCTGGGCCATCTTGCTGCAGGCACTGTTGTGTGCTATACTTTGGAAATTGCCAAGATGCAGACAGCCCTCAGCAAGGGTCCTGTTGTCAAAACCTTACACCCATCCTAAGACATCACCAGGACGGGAACCCTGGACCTGGCCAGGAATCAGGTTCCGTATTAAGAATGGTCTCAGCTGTGTACAAGTTGAATGAAGGAGACTGTTTCACCCACCTTAAATTCCCCCATCAGACAATCTGCCCGCAAAGAATGGGAATTATAGACCTGGAAGAAAGAAGGGGGGGGCAGAAGGTCATGGCTCTGTCTGGCGGTCAGTCAGCGGAGCTTCCCACTCGCCGCCTCTTACCCGGATGCTGATGATCTCATCCATGAGTTCAGAAGGGGTCATGTGCACATTGTAGAAGAACAACTGTCAAAATAGCAGAGAGCACATGTAAGTCTTAGCAGCCGATGCAGATTTAGTAGGGTCTGATGCTATAATGGGGAGAGGGGAGAGAGTCTTTCTGAAAAATTCAAAACAAATTCAAAATTAGGTTTGACCCTGGGGACACATCCAGAGCCTTGGGAAAGACTCTGGAGTCAAAGCTTCATGGCCTACTTTTGCATGTGAGAAAAAGGAGAAAAAGCCGGAAGGGACAAATGGAGTACTTTTTAACTAAATAAAACTGTTACTTCTGCATGAGATACCCACTAGTTAAATGAAGTAAAACTCTAAGGTTATTTTATCGCCAATGCTTACTAACGGTGCAGAGGGCCAGCATGCCCTGCAGCCTTCATCTCATTCTCTACCACGTGGAGCTCAGCATTTGGGTCTAGGTTGCTTTAGCTCTTTGGCCTGTAGGAGGACTGTAATTTCACTCTTTCTAACAAAAGACCTTCACAGACCATGAGTTTGCCCAGTAGGTTACGTTACTACCTCAGCAGAGCTGATACTGAGACATTTTAACTCTGTGACAACTGCGTTTGAGAAGGTTAAATCTTGGGAGATGTTTGGTATAGAAGGGTTGGTTTGTGTCAGCCTAGAAGATACTCATCTTAAGAGAAAAAGGTTGAGCATTTTTTCAAATGGCAATGTGCACTTTATCATAAGGAATGAAGGGACCCTTGGCAAAATTGTTGGAAAAACCAGAAGCCTGTGGGTAGCCGTGAGAACCCGTGATAAAGCCAGCCAGGTGATTTCTGGAACCAGCGGTCCTTAACTTTGCATGTCCGATGACAGAACTCCTCGTCACCTTTACCAGTTAAATTTGCTCCTGTGTCCACCCCGTTATGAGATGGGGAGTGGTGGGTGGAAGCAGGGAGGTGTGTACACACAGAACACCCACTGGGCAGGACCACGAATTCTCCACCCCTTTACCTCGTCAAAAAATGGATTGTTCCCTCTCTTGATTCTCGTTCGGTGTGTCTGGCCACAGATGTGGACTTTGACCACAGGCCGTATGTTGTTGCCACTGAGCTGTCGGCCCTCAATCACTCGGACCCGGATCTGCAACACGGAAGGGGCGTGGTTACTGACTGTCCCAGAGGGTGCTGTACAGGAATCCTCAGGTTGCTCTAGCTCTTTGGCCCATAGGATGGCTGCAAGCAGGTCAGGGGGGCTCTGCAGTCTATGGGGGCTCACGGCCTGTGAGCGGCCGCCTGCATCATTCCGAAGATGGGTACAGGGTGAGGTTGGACCAATAGGTGGCATGGTGGTTACAGTGCTGGACTTCCGTCCACATCGCCGCCTGTGGTCGGAGTCCTGGACTCAGCAGCTTGGAAATCATGCCAGGCACATGCGTGTGCATGCCCAAATCCTGAGAGAATGGAGGGGAAGGGATTGTGGTGTGGTCGTCCACGTCGGGAATGGTTTCTCACTTTTCCCCTCTGTCTCCAGTGAGCACACACACCTTATGACAAAAACTTAAAAATAAAAATAGAAAAAAAGGAAGAAAAGCCAAAGGCAGTCATGGGGTGGGGATGAAATGGTTCAAAGCTGGCGTCAGAGAAAGAGCGGGGCCGGGCCGAGGTGTCTGCAGCCTCCAGCCCCTTCCCTGGCCTCCTGAGACTGGCCATGCACACACTCGCTGCGTGCAGCCTCCCATGTGTACGGCAGCCCAGAGCTAGGATAAACGGGCTCTCCATGCTTCTATTCTATTACTCTTGCCTACCAGCAGTGGGAAGGAGATGTCTAGTCTTATTCCTCTGAAGACACT